AATGAATGTTGAAAATCACTCAAGAAATGATATGGAGGGACTAAATGATATGTTGAATTTCGCTTAAGAAAAGTCGTGGCTGAGAGGTTTTAGGGTATCCAGTAGAGTGGGGGCTGATCTAGAGATTAGCCACTTAAAACATGAAGTCTTGTCTTCGGTGATGCTAACAAGAACCAACTCAAGATTTTAAGGGTAATCTTCGTTCTTTTTTAAGCTATCTCTAGGCTTCACATCAATTGGAACAAGAGTTTCTTGTATCCATAAATGAAGTCCCTGAATTACCCTCTCTGGCTAGGATTTTGGGCGGAAGGACAGGATATCTACCAACTACATATTTGGGGATGCCCTCGGGAGCCAAAAGCAAATCTGTAGGCATTTGGAATGGGTGATTGAAAAATGTGAAAAAAGGTTGGTGAATTGGAAGTGCCAGTACCTTTCTTTAGGAGGAAGATTAACACTCATCAATAGTGTTTTAGACACTATGCCTACATATATGATGTCACTTTTCCCTATTCCTGATGGTGTTATTCACAGACTTGATGCTTTGAGGAATATCATGTGGGAAGGAAATAGTGAAACCAAGAAATTCCACTTGGTAAAGTGGATTACTTCGATTAAGAGTAAATATGTTGTGGGGATGGGGATACGAAATTTAAAAATTCAAAATCAGTGTCTTATGATGAAGTGGCTACGGAGATTTGCTTAAGCGGTGGAAAGATGTAATACAGGCTAAATATGAAATGGAGATCTCTGGATAACTTAAACAGTCACTAGCACTTACGGATCATGTCATTGGAGAGCCATCAGAAAACATTGGTCAAAGCTCAAAGAAAACTGCAATATTTAATTGGGGAATGGTAGGAAAGCCTCTTTTTGGGAAGATAGATGGCTAGAACAAGTATCTTTAAAAACCATGTTCTCGGATATTTTCACCCTAAACCAGCAAAGAGCCACTAAAGCAGAGATGTGGTCAAACCAAGAGTGGAATATGAGCTTTAGAAGTCCTCAAAATGACTGGGAGATCCAAAGGTTGGTGGAGTTCTACAAGGTCTTAGGATAGTTCAAAGAAACAATTGATGCACAAGATAGTTTGGGATGGCAGGATCACAATCGGGACAATTTTAATGTTAGAAGAGCATACAAAAAACTTAATCCTTGTAACAGTCAGAGGAATGGGTGGCCATGGAAGTTGATATGGAAAACTAAAATCCCTACAATGTGTCTTGTTTTTCCTGGCGCCTTGCTAAGCAGGCAGTTTTGGCCCAGGAAAATCTCATGAACAGAAATATTTAACTGAGTCGTAGGTGCCTTCTATGTGGTGAAGAAGAAGTAGAGACTGTCAACCGTCACTTCCTTCACTGTAGAATAACCAACATTTTGTGGAATGTCTTTATCAAGCAAAAGGACGTGAAATAGGTTATGCCTAGGAAAGTTACGCAGACTCTGAAGTTATAGAGCAGTTTTGCAAGCATTTCGAGGCATAAAGAAAGATGGAAAATCATTCCGGCTTGAATTTGATGGTTTGTGTGGGAAGAAAGAAATATCAGATGCTTCCAAAACAAGAGCAATTCCACCGGAAGATTAAGATGAACTGCTTAATTTTGTTTTTTTTGGTGCTCCGCAATTGTAATTAGGAATTTGTAACTTGTTGTGGCACGTTCTGGTTTTTGTTTTGGAATAGAATACAAGTTGTTACTGTCTCAAAAAAAATAAACAAACTCAGATTCCCTTGTAACACAATCTAACTTCTTAAAACTAGGGAATGTGCTAAGACAGTATATCCTAGACAAGAAATCAAAAGGAAAGTTGTACAAATTCTTGTTTTTCCTATTTGAGAAACTCAAATCTCTACACATTAATTTTCAACAACTAAAACATGTTAAAGAAGAGTCCCTAGAAAATGTTGACACAATTTTTCTCTCTTGAGATAGAAACAAGATGAATCTCATTATATTTAAGTGTAGGTCAGTATCACTTTGATACTTAGGATCTTTTCAGAATCTACACCAAAAACAATATATAAATCAACCATTTGTGATTGACTACACATTCTCTTGTGTGTCATGACCTTTATACATCATGAAATAGCAAATTATTGATCATTTGAATAGAATATTTACTGAACCAACAAACAACAACTTACCAAGTGTAATCCCACAAGTGAGTCTGGGAAGGGTAGGGTAGGGTAGAGTGCGCGTAGACCTTAGAGAGACTATTTCCGATACACACTTGGCTTAAGGAAACACATATCAAGCGGATCAGAGAAAGAGAAGATTTACAAAACCAACAACAACATCCTATTTAGTGAAATCCCACAAGTGAGGTATAGGGTGGGTAGAGTGTCTAGACTTTACCCTACCTTGGGAGGTCGAGAGGTCATTTCTGATGCTCAACTCAAGGAAAAGCATATCAAAAGCAGATAAAAAAAAGAGCTTTAAATAACCATGACAAAAAATCTTATAGGGAAAAACATAAAAGATCTTACTTTTTCCCTTCAAAGAACTATCCATATCCCTAAAAATCAACTTTCCTAAACATAAAGCATGTTAAAGAAGAGTACCAAAAAACGTGAGCACAACTAGCTGATGATCATAAAGCACAATCTAAGCAAACTTCTGAGTGAATTTATCAACAGTTATAAGTTGTATCACCTATGAAAATAAGCATTCAATCAAAATGGAATAACACACATATATATACTTATAATTGTAGATTGATTCATTTTTAGTTGAATGTTTGATTTCATAGTTGATATAACTTATAGCTGTAGATTGATTCACTCAAAAGTTTGTTTTGACTGTTCTTTGTGATCATCTCGTTATCCTAGTTCCGCTGAAGTTGTTTGGTACTCTTCTTTAACATGCTTTATGTTTAGGAAAGTTAATTTTTAGAGATATGATTAGTGCTTTGAAGGAAAAAAAACAATATCTTTCATGGCTTTCCCTTTAAGATTTTTTGTCATGGTTATGTAAAGCTTTCCTTTTTCCGATATGCTTTTCCTTGAGTTGAGGGTCAATCAGAAATGACTTTTCTGCCTCCCAAGGTAAGATAAAGGTTTATAGACACTCTATCCTCTCCATATCTGACTTGGGGATTTCACTAGATATGATGTTGTTGGTTTTGTAAATCTTCCCTTTATCGATCTGATATATATGTTTTTCCTTGAGCTAAGTGTGCATCAGAAATAGCCTCTCAAGGTAGCGATAAGGTCTACATATACTCTTATCGTCTCCAAACTCACTTCTGGGATAACACTTGGTATGTTGTTGTTTCTTGGTCCTGTAAATCTTCCATTCAAATGATCAATAATTTGTTATTTCATGATGTATAAAGGTAATGACGACACAAGAGAATGTGCAGTCAATCATATATGGTTGATTTATAGATCGTTTTTGGTGTAGATTCTGAAATGATGCTGACCTACTTGAATATCATGATATTCATCTTATTTCCATCTTTGGAGAAAAAAATTGTGTTAAAATTTTCTAGGGACTCTTTTTTAACATGGTTTCCGTTGTTGAATATGTGTAGAGATTTTAGTGTTTCTCAAATTGGAAAAACAAGAATTTGTAGAACTTTCCTTTTGATTTCTTGTCTAGAATATATTTTTCTTAGCACATTCCCTAGTTTTATATGTTTAGATTGTGTTACAAGGGAATATCAGTTTTCTTTTGATAACATATGTTGGGTTGACACGATATCTTTCCCATTATGTGGTACAAGGCCTTGGATCTTCTTTTTTTTTTGCATAACTAAGAAGAACAAAAATATATACTCAATGATATAGTTTTTTCTTATCTTGAGACGAATAGCTTTCTTATTATAAAACCTTTTGTCCGATAGAAAAGGGAAAGAATGCAAATGCTTTCATAATATTTTTGTATCGCTGGAGACTTCTGTGGTAGTATACCACATGTATCTTCATGTTTGATCCTTTTACAAGTCACTCATTACTTTTCTTAGTATCCATAACTTGGTTTAAAAGAATGTGTCTGCCGCGATTGTTTTTGATTAGTAAGTTTCAGGGGTTACAAAACAAAAAAATTCTTATGTTAGACGCTTGATATTTATGGTAGTTTTTGGTCATATATTGACACTCATCCGTTTTCTGAATCCTCTTCAGGAGCTTACCCTTTTCATGTTTGAGCTTTTCTTGTAGAATTAAAATGAACACCGATCGGACAGACAATAATTCCTTCTGTACTAAGGAGGAGGATAAAATCTTTTATAATACTCTTGCGACCAACGAGGATAACAACAATCTTATTGGACGAAATGACAAAAGCACTTCTTGGGAAAATTGGCTGATGATATAAAGGATCACTATAATATCTTAATTGAAGATATCAATGTCATCAAGTCTGGGTATGTCCAATTACCTAATTATCCTCAAATTCAAAAATAGATGTAGAATGGGGAAAAAGGGCTTCTTGGACAGAACAGGAACACCGGTCAGTTTCCAATACAGTTCTTGACGACGACATCAAGTCTGGATATGTCCCATTACCTAATTATCCTCAAATTCATAAATAGATGTAGAATGGGGAAAAAGGGCTTCTTCAGTTTCCAATACAGTTCCTGAGGACGACGTTAATAATCGGAATTAATCATTGTTTCATTACTTGTAATTGACTGCACGACTTACATTCTTTCTAAAACGAAATTTCTTTTTTCTCAATGACCACGTTGGTGTGCTTCTAAGCATCTTATATATTATGTTTCTAGGTGGATGGAGTACATCTTCATATGTGTATTTTGTCTTCATAAAAGCTTCAGTATGGAGATATTTTGAGTAACTTGTAGCTAAGACAAATGGTTCTTACACATATTTCATCTAATTAAGTATCACGTGAAGAGTCCCTTTGATGCTGTCCTGCGATCTTGTTTCCTGGAATAACTTCAGAACTTATAATAACTTATTTCTCTATCTTTCCTACTATAAGTCATTTCTCCGGGGCTTAAGACATATATGAAAAAGCTGACAGGAGAAGTATATCTAGGCACTGTGTGATAACAAGAACAGCAAAGCAGGAGGATGCTGAAGCCAGTAGAACTTCCCAAGTTCCACACACCAAGGATATGATTGGGTCTGCTTACGGAGGATCACAAGCAGTGCCAATCACTAGCAATGAGAGCATGTTTCCTTGAGAAAGCACCAACGTGGAGCAGGTGATAGAAGTTGTTGGAGGAGAGTCGACAGACCATAATGCTGTTGTCAGTGTTGGGTCTGATGTGAATGTTGATGCTGGAAGTTTCCTATTACCCAGCAAACGATCAGGTACTGCTGCTAGCGGTGGAAGTGGAACTTACAGTCATCCTATCGCTAGAATTGGGAATGAACTTGAAGCATTGCTCACTGAACCCATGGACGAAGATAATGATATCAGTTCCATTTTTGAAGTTAGGAAAGCACCAACTTCTTATCCTGTGCTGGTTGATGCTGCTTTAAGCAGAATACCCCGCTATGCAGCTGCAGTGGCTGCTGCTGCTCAGTTACCTCCCTTTGACGATGAAGGCATTTTTGATCCGGATGACCTGTTCACAGACCAGATGTTCTGATTTGATGGAGGTGAAGCTGTCAATGTTGATATTAGTTGGTCACAACCAGATAGTCTGATACTGCACTTTTTGTTTTTCTTTTTTTGAAGACTTGTGCCATTTTGTTAGACAGTATTGCTCTTATTCATCTATTTTTAATCTGCTTTAAGGAGCCAGATTTTCTGTATCTTCAAACTCTTTTGAGAGAGTAAGTGGATTTTAGTTGAAATTTTTCAAAATAAAATGGTAGCAGTTTGAGTTCTTGCAAGTTCTTTGTTTATGTAGTTTGTTGGTTTTTCTTTTTGCCAAAACCTCTTGCAAGCTAATGGTTCAGACTAGAATCAAATGCTACTAAGGTAAGTGTTTATTTTTTTTTTTGTATTCTTATTGCTATCAATGTCAAAGGATCACTTTTCTGTACATCAAGGACTATTTCTATTTGAACACCTCTTATAACATATTACGTGAACTCTCTGTCTTGTGAAAGTAATAGCCAAGAGAGTGTCTCCATGAGCATTCTTCCGCCATCTTAAACAAGTAAAGTGCGTATGGCTACCACTAGTTCTATGATTTCAACTGAATTTATTGTCTTCGACTCAAAACTATAATATGTGCAAAAACAAAAGAAAGAAAATGTATGCATACATATAATAAGATCACGTTCACTCTGAACTCAATAAATTGGTTATTATTGTCTAACTTTGAGATATATGTATCTAAGTTATCTCAAATCTTATCATCAGCCTCATCTTCAATTGGAGCTGCTACATTTACATAAAGCTTCTGGCCATTGATGCAATTTGTATTGTTGCTGGATTTGAAATAATAATCTCCAGGTACCAACATGAATGCTATTGCTGGACTATCTTTGTATTGCCTTGAAAGAGTGTTGGAATTGCATGCATAATAGTTGTATTTTCCAATCTCTAGCAAATCCTCTGGCTTTTGGAATCTAAACTCTACAAATAAAATGGTACATGAATACATAATATTATGTACACGGAAAATTAACTTTCTAAAAGATAAATAAAGTTATGAATTATATTCAAAGTATGTAGTTTAGATGTTAGGGTTAGAGGTGTAGAGCTATCCTTGTGCAAAGAGAGTGAATGGCACTCCTTCACCACAAAATCAAACACTTTTATTGATTTGATTTGGTTTATGAAGTTATAAAACTGATATAGCTAGTTTGATTAGGTAAATGAAAAAAACTAACACCCCTAAAATTAGTTGGTACCTTTAATCCTTCCAAACACGGCTAAAGAAAGACTTCAAGCCAAATTATATATGAGGAATGGTTGAAATGACAAGAAAAGTAACTGGTGAGGAGACAAACACCTGAGGAAGGAAATTCTCACAAATAAGAAAGTATAATCGACTCCGAAAGGAAGCTTACCTCACAGCCAGTGTCGGAGTCAGAATTTCGACTAAGGAGTGTCAAAACAAAAAAGAAGTTAAGTGCATAGAAGCCAATGAATGTCTCACCTAAATACACAGTGTAATTTTTTGACGAAGGGTGTCATTCGACACCCCTCAAATATATGTGGCTCCGCCACCACTCGCCTTCGGCTCCCAAAAATAGCTTATCAAAATTATAAGAAAACCTATAACACTACATTCGCACCCCCACAAATTTCTATTTGTTCGAGTATGTTAATAAATTACAAATACGATCGATGTAATAATTTCCTTAAAAGTTACCTAATTGATCTCCAGGTTTTAACTTGACAGTTGTAGCCCAATCTTGGTAGTAAGTAGGGTAAGGAGCAGGACCCCAACCATAGCCTTCTCCAACAATATATCTCTCTGAATTTACTAAATTAATCAAAATTCCAATAACATAAAGTAGCAAAATTATAATAAAATGCATATTGTGGTATCTCTTATTTTATTTTTATTTACTAAATCCTATTCAAAGCTATATAGCAAGTTAATTACAACAATTAGAGCAATTGAACTAAAATTGCCTTTTATAAATATTCTATCTACTACTACTAGCTAATTCAACACATTACGTTATTAAAATTTTGTATTAAATGTTGAATGTTACAACATAATTAACTTTGCATTAATTATTCCACATCTAATTTCAACAACTGAAACAGAATCATAAAGTGGTTTGAAGAAAATTTTGGAAAAAGGTCAAGGACTATTAGTTTATTTATTAAGAAAATAAATGAACATTATAAAGAATTCTATTATAATTAATATCTGGCTTTAATCTTCTTTCTTATCGATGGTATTACTATTATTCTCGTAATTTGTTGTTCATCGGGTATCATATGTTTTTGTACTTTGAATATCATATTATTTTGTTAGCATACTATTCGTTCTTATGTATATTTGCACGACTCTTTATTCCACATCATTTCGTTGTTTTAATGTCTGTATATCTTTTTTTTTTCAAACGGTTTGAATATCTTTATTTAATTTTAAATCGAGGGTTTATAAATAACAACTTTTTTATTAGAATTATGAACTTTATTCAATCTAATACTAGTGTAGCTGGCCGCGCGTCCTAAAAATCATACTTTCTCCGTCTGTCTTATTTTATGTGACACATTTTTCTTCATTGTCCATTCCCACAAATATTATTTTATCTAATTAAATAGAATTTACCACACTTAAAAAAGTTTTTTTCTTAATCATCATGTCAAATCAAAGAGCGTCACATAAAATGAGACGAAGAGATTATAAATATAATTAAAAAAAATTATATTATGAGACAATAATTGTCTTTTATTTAATGTTATTTAAACAATCTAATATGATTTTAAGATGTAAAAAAAAAAGTTAGAATATTGAAAATGTAAATTTGCCCATATCGACAATCAAATAAAAAAGTTAATACATTTGTGAAATTATGAAATAACCGTTAGTTTTCAAAAATGAATTATGATATTGAATTATTATTATTTTTTGGATTTTTGTTTTAAAATGTCTTTTAAAGAAAGGATAAAATTAGAACTACTAAAATCTGCTAATTTTCATCTTATATCGCTATTAATAGTACTTGCACAGAATACTTTTCCCCTTCTAGAGGCATATATATATATATTTATCCGAACTTCTTTCATCGTATATTAATTATCAAGTCGATATATTGTTACGAAGCAAGAATGGTCTCATTTATTCTTCGCAGACAATATTTCTATCGATACTAAATATAAATGTATGAATATTTTTACCCGGCTATCTGGACAAAAAAAATCAATCTTCTCAAAATATTGTAATGAAGATATGAAACTCTTGGTTAAACGTTATTTTAACATATCTCCCTCCACACACTTTGGAAAGTATCTAGGTTTTCCCATTCTTAATAGTAAACCAAAATCTCCAATATATTATAGATAATATGAAATTAAATTCTTCCTCTGATTAACTCATTTCTATATCATATTAAAATGTTATCTAATAACAAATGCACCATCTGTATGAGAGAAGAGGAATCTATAAAACATATTCTATTTCATTGTTATATTGCAAAAAAAAAACCTAGGTATTCCTGAGTTTAACATTCCTTCTCAATTACATTGGCTCCAATATTTGAAGAACATCAGATTGCCACAAAATAGTAACATTCAGAACTGGCTTGATTTTTTCCCTTTTGCTCTTTGGAGTTTATGGAAAAATAGAAACTATAATAATTACAACTCTAAAAAATCCCCTCTTCCAATTGAAACTCATATTTATAAAAAAAAGTTAAGGTTCGAAGGTGTATTTATAAAAAAAATTCTTTTAGAAATACTTCTTCAATTTTAGCCATTGAATTTTCTAAAATTGAAGAAGTATTTATATATCTTTTACAAAATTCAAACTCATTGACCCTCACTACTTCTTTAAAATTGAACAAGTATTTCCTCTAAAAAAAAAAAGATATATAAATAAAAGTAGTACAACAGATGAAAAAGGAAAAGCACTAAGGATTAATAGCATTAATGAAAATATTAAAAAGAAAATTGTCTATAATGTTCTGCAATGGCGATAAAATAAATGAGATTGATTGATATGAAAAATAATAGAAAATAAAATACATTTATGAAAATTAGGAGAAGAGATAAATAAAATATAGTTTATTTTTAAAAAATAATAGAAATAAAAGGTATTTAAAGAACACATTTATGTTAATAATAAGGAGAGGAGATAAATAAAATATTTTTAATATAAAATATAATAGAAATAAAAGGTATAATAATAATAATAATTACAAAAAATTATAATAATAAAAACCAAAAAAACAAGAGAAGAGATAAATAAAATATTTTTATTTTAAAAATTAATAGAAATTGAAGGTATGATAGTTAAACACTAAAATAAAAAAATGTAATAATAAAAACTAAAAAGAAAAGGTTAAAAAACGACATAGAAAAAGAAATATAATAAAAATAGATTTTTACTTTTAGCCTTTTGAAATTCCTTAATTTAAGGGATGTGTAAGGATCATATTAAGTAACTAATTAATAGCAGCATATGTGTATCTATACATAATTCTATTATGTAGAAATTAGAAAAAAGGGCTTAAATTATTAAAAAATTAGATAAATATTTTTCTGATCATTAAGATATGTCACGTAAGCACGCTGAAGATCTCATATATATATATATATATATATTGATTGATTAATATATTAATTTAAATTAAAAATAATAAAATTAACTTATCTCGTGAAATATTTTAATCAATAAAATATCACTATTTATAAATATATTCATTGTTTCTAAATATATATATTTAACAACCTTGTTATATAAACAAACTAATATATGTACATAGTTTCCATTGTACAAAGAAATTAAATTTGTAATTTTAATATTTAAAATACTATCTAAAATTAAATTGGTATATTCTTAATTCTTTAAATTATTAATTTTGTGATTTTTCACTTGTATAAAATCAGAGAAGAGAGCTCTGCAATTGCTTCTTCCCCGAAGTTCAGTTCCCAATGGACGCTCTGAATTCTTACGCATCGTCGGCGGCGATGGCGCAACAAACATGGGAGTTAGAAAACAACATCGTGACGACGGACGCGCCATCGGGGTCGGCACCGGAAAACTCTGCGTCGGATGCAATATTCCACTATGACGATGCGGCACAGACTAAGTTCCAGCGGGAGAAGCCGTGGACGAGTGACCCTCACTACTTCAAGCGCGTGAAGATCTCTGCTCTTGCTCTTCTAAAGATGGTTGTTCACGCGCGTTCTGGAGGTACAATTGAGGTAATGGGACTAATGCAAGGTAAGACGGATGGAGATGCTATTATTGTTATGGACGCTTTTGCCCTTCCAGTTGAAGGAACTGAAACTAGGGTTAATGCTCAAGCTGATGCGTATGAATACATGGTTGAATATTCACAGACCAACAAGCAGGTTAATAATGCCTTTTTATCACTTTTTTTTTCTTCTTTTTGATGTTGTGGTGTTGATAATGGAGAAGGGTATACTAGTGCTAAACTAGTCAGTTTACAGAAACTTTTCGGATATAATAAGTATTGTAAATGGGTTCAAAAAGGGGCAGGGCGGTGAGTTGATAGAATTGATTGAGATTGAAGCTTTGTTCTTGTTGGCGTCCAGGCCAGTTTGCATTGACTAGTTACCTATGTAGATTTTTAGAATCATTAGCAAGAAGTCAATTCTTCCGGTTGATCTATTGCTTCATGTGTGTTTCCATAATCATAGACTTGGAGTCTCTATATGTATTGTACATATGTATGATTTCATTTTGAGCTGATTATTAATTTACCTGTACACATTGTTATATAGGATTTATGCATTATGTGTGGATTGGTTTTCTGAATTGGAGCGTGTTTGTCCTATAGTTACCTATGTAGATTTTTAGAATCATTAGCAAGAAGTCAATTCTTCCGGTTGATCTATTGCTTCATGTGTGTTTCCATAATCATAGACTTGGAGTCTCTATATGTATTGTACATATGTATGATTTCATTTTGAGCTGATTATTACTTTACCTGTACACATTGTTATATAGGATTTATGCATTATGTGTGGATTGGTTTTCTGAATTGGAGCGTGTTTGTCCTATAGTTTGTTCAGACCACTCTCTTACTAAGACTTTATGCTATAGGCTGGTCGGCTGGAGAATGTGGTCGGATGGTATCATTCTCATCCTGGCTATGGATGCTGGCTCTCTGGCATTGATGTAACTACACAAATGCTTAACCAGCAGTATCAGGAGCCCTTTCTTGCAGTTGTTATTGATCCAACAAGAACTGTTTCTGCTGGAAAAGTTGAGATTGGTGCCTTTCGAACATATCCTGAAGGATATAAGCCTCCAGATGACCCTATCTCAGAGTACCAGACCATTCCTTTGAACAAAATTGAAGACTTCGGAGTACATTGCAAGCAGGTCAGCTTATTGGCATGAACGCATACACTCACACATTTATGTTAAATCTAGGACTTCCAACTTCAGGTTTACTCGTGACTGTTAAATCACCAACTTTTCTCTTAATTTGCAGTATTATTCATTGGATATTACCTATTTCAAGTCCTCTCTCGATTGCCATCTCTTGGACCTACTATGGAACAAGTATTGGGTGAACACACTTTCTTCTTCTCCTTTGCTTGGAAATGGAGACTATGTTGCTGGACAGATATCTGATCTTGGTAATATCATTGTTGCCTACCTTTTCCACTTCCTTTTATCATCATAATGATTTGATCCTGAACATGAGTTTACACAATATTGAAACACCTCAAAATTAGTTGATCCCATTAACTCATGCAGCTGAAAAGTTGGAGCAAGCTGAAAATCAGCTGTCCCATTCACGTTTTGGGCACTTAGTGGCAGCCCCTCAAAGGAAGAAGGAGGTATTTTTTTGTTTTCTCTTGAGTCTTGACAATGCGTACTTTAACTTACAAGTC